TTGACAAAGTTCTTCATCAGACCCAGCTTGATGTGTAAGGGTGGTAACAAAATCTTCCTTGATTCAACAACTGGTGGATGCTGAACACTTTTCCTTCCAGGCTCCAATGACGGTCGGAGTGGCCAATCTATCCTGATGTAGTGGGAATTTCTTGCACGACTATCCCATTTGCAGAGAAAACAGTAGTACTTTGTGTATCCAGTCTGCAGACCAAGCAAGAGAGCAACAACCTTCAAATCGCCACAAAGCTGCCACTGATGTTGGTCATATGCACCTCAAAAATTGTTTCATGTTGTCATAGGTTTCCTTCATGTGGATTGCATGACCAACTGGAATTGATGGCAAAACATTGCCATTATGCAGCAAAACATCCATGACTTCTAGGAATAACATGATGCAATTCATATCATGTATGACGCAATACCAGCTTCAGATTGCATCATTCATTGTTTTGCCTAAAAAGCAAGTACTGTCCAAACCCAGTCATAGATTTATTCATAGATCCAGTCAAAGATGTATTTTAGTCATTTCTGGTTTAAATTGAGATCTCTTCCCTTTATAACTCACCTATCCTCCGCCATTCGCAAGTCAAGGGTCGTATATACTGACCCAATAGCATATCTTGAAAACTAGAGCCAATCAACAATTTTAAGCATCATTTTCGTTCTCAGTGACCCAAGAATTAGTAAAGTTTGGCTACATTTATTTCAGAAGCATTTTGGCTGTAGAGCAGTGTTACAGGTCCCTCACCAAAGACTCTTAAGCAAAATCATATGTCATGGGATAATAGGAAATGAAGGGTAGAAATAAATGGTCAGTTTTCAGAATGGAGAAAGGTAACTAGTAGTGTTCCCCAAGAATCAGCATGGGACCAATCCTATTCAACATATTCATAAATGATTTGGAAAGAGGGGGTAAACAGTGAAGGTGGCAAAACTGGTAGATGATACCAAGCTGCTCAAGATAGTGAAGTCCAAAGTAGACTGTGAAGAGCTTCAAAAGGATCTCACAAAAATAGGTGATGGGGCAACAAAATGAAAGATGAATTTTAATGTTGATAAATGTAAAGTAATGTACACATTGGAAAACATAATCCAAACTATATGCATAAAATGATGGGGACTAATTCAGCTGTTACCACTCAAAGAGTGAAATCTTGGAATCTTGTAGATCGTTCTCTGAAAACATCCACTGAATGTGCAGCAGCAGTTGAGAAAAAGCAAACAATGTTCGGAATATTTAAAAATGAATAGAGAAGATGACAGACTATCGTATTGCCCCTAATTCAATCCATGGTACGCCCACATCTTGAATACTTCATTCAAATGTGGTTGCCTCATGTTAAAAAAGATATCTTGGCAGTGGATAAAGTTCAGAAAAGGGCAATAAAAATAATTAGAGGTATGGAACAGGTGCCATATGAGGAGACTAATAAAATAGGAACTTTTCAGCTTAGGAAACGAGACTAAAGGAGATATAACAGAGGTCTATAAAATCATGACTAGTGTGGAGAAAGAAAATAAGGAAAAGTAATTTACTTGTTCCCATAACACAAGAGCGAGGGGTCACCAAGTGAAATTAATAGGTAGCATGCTTAAAATAAACAAAAGGAAGTATTTCTTCATACAACACATAGTCAACCTGTGCAACTACTACTTGCCAGAGGATGTTGTGAAGGCCAGCACTTTAACAGGGTTCAAAAAAGCTAGATAAATTTATAAATGATGGGAGGATGGGCTTTTCTTTTTTTGCCATGTCTTAGGCATTTGCAAAGAGGAACAGTGCCAGGCGGAGTTTGATGCTGGTGGTATGCTCCACACCAATGCCAAAGTGCTCGTCTTGTAGTCCAAATGGAAGTGTTCCAATGTAAGATGGAGTGCAACCTCTATGAGGAAGTGGATATCCTACTCCTCTTGGTTTCTAGGGCAATAGTTTTTAGAGAATCAACACTTTCCCTTTCTGTGGGACTCCTCCAAGAACTTCAAACAGCTGTCACGGGGGTCACTAATAGGCAGGGCTTGAAAAAAAAAAAAGCCACTCGCCAGACCAGCACTGCGCATGCGCGAAGCGCCGGTCAATGGGGCGCTTGGAGTGACGGGCTGAAATCTACTTGCCATGGGCAAGTAGATTCAGCAGTTTGTTGAGCTCTGCTAATAGGCACCAGCTTGCTGCATGACAAACATGATTTGAAGAGGTGAGAGCATCGAATGCCCTGCTCTGGGATGAAGTCCCAGATGAGACAGTAATTAAGATAAACCAATACTTAATAGCTAACTAAGTACTGGGGCAAAGTTCTGGCCATGTCCTGTGGGTCTCATGCTACTGGCATATCATCTTAGCCTCAGAGACTCACTGTGACATAACAGGAAGCGGAGTCCACAGCTTAGTGGGCCATACTCATCACTGCCTAGTCCATGGTGTTGGGGTGAAAAGTCCCTAATAGTCCTGGTCTCCTTTCTTGGGAGAGCCTGTGTGTTGGCGTTGGGGGGGAAATGGAGTGGGGAGAGAGAACGCAGGCCTGCTCACTACTCTGGGTTCTGGCCCAAGCACCCTAAAGTAGCAGAAGTCAAGGTTGTTTCCCTTCTGATTTGGTAGCTTTTCCCCCCTGGGCCACCTCCCCAAACAATCCCTCCAAAATATCTCTCTCTGGTATCTGTTAACCAGTTCTCAGCTCATATACAGCTTCTTGTTCCCCCCTTTCGCCTTCTGGTCTGTCACTCTTTGTCTTCTCCCCTTTCTTGCCTGAGGGGAACCCCTTTAAAGCAGCACCACAGGTCTTAATTGGCTGCAGGTGTTGAGTGACTTGCCTGAGGGAGCAATCTAGTTAATTAGCCCCAGATGTTTTCCGGCCTTCATTTTATTGCAGCAGGCTCTAGTATTTCACTCCGGAATGAGAAAACCACTTATCCAGTGTCCCTTATATCTGCCTTCCAGAGTGTGGCAGACTGCTTTCTTAGGTCTGTCACACAACCTACAACTATGTACACAGAAGATAGAACTGCTAGTGCTTTTGCAATGCAAGAGAAGACACCCCAACCCTCATGGTGCTAAGAAGAAAATGAGGGTGGCGCCTAACATACTAATAGATGGTGCAGCACACAGGGTGCTGCAGCTGACCTTATAGATACTGCTAAGGTAAAAGTCTCTGACCGCACATGGCCGCGCACATACCTAGAATAGAATCAACATGAGCAAACGTTTGAAGAACTATTGATTACAATGGGATCCATTTATGTTTTTCAGAATGCAACTAAATTTAATGTATGTATACAGAGACTACATCATAAGAATGAAATAGCTCCTGAATTAATGATTTTTAAGTGAAATAGGAAACTTAAGTCTAACCTCCTTTAGTTCCTGTTCAGCTTGAGGTAATTTTGTATTTAGCTCTTTAATACCAACTGTCCTTTCTTTAAGGGTTCCTGAAGCAGTCTTTAGAGCCTCTTTTGCTTTATTTAACTGAGATACCGCTGTATTATGGTGACTGAGGTAGATATCAAGTTCTGATTGGGCTACATCCATCTTAGAACGTGCTTCATTCACTGTTTTGCTGAACTCCATAAGTTCTTTTTCTTTGCCCTACAGAAATGGACAGTACAATACATTAGACTAATAGGATGACTGACCTGTGTAAAGTAATATATTAATATATAACCAAGCAAGAGAAGCAGCAGGAGAGGTGGTGTGATCTTAACCTCTTGAACAGAAAGATATGGTGAATTTAGCACAAATGGGCCCAAGTTAAATAAAAACTGTGCCCCTATTTTCATTACAGAAATCTCAGTTGCAAATTTTGAAGACCATCAGGAAGAACAAATAATCACAATAACCCGTTAGATATCCAATCCCATCTCATTCTGGATTTAGGATGCAGTAGTGTACTAAAGTGAAGACAGACATTATACTATAATTAAAACAGAATATTTTAGTGATTTGCAAGCCACTGCTTTTCCAGCCCTGCTTTAGGACTGTTGAATAACTGACAAAAATACCCTTCAGGAGATAGTTGCTCTTTGTGAATTAAACAGACAAGCTGCATGGAGGTTTTCCAAGACAAGAAAGAGTACTAAGCATAAAGCCAACTTCACAAAAATTACAGAATACTAGCTAACAACTGTAGTATTAATTAGGTGTTGAAATTTTTTTGATCAGCTCTCTTACAATATTTTGAGAAAATTTTTTTTGCTGGAAAATACAGCTTAGTTAAAATCCACTTATCTCATAGGAACATCTCTCTCAACTAAATTTAATAGCAGAAAGTTAAAAATTAATTTTGGTAATAATTTTCAAATTATCAATAGAAAGTAAGTCAAAATGGTTTCAAACTGACAATTTTTGGAATTCCTTTTTGTTCTGATTCACAACAAATATGAATTTTGAAATGTGAGAATTCCCTACAGAATGAAAAATTAATTTTCCAGTCCGCTCTATATTTGAATTAAGTACCCAAGAGAACAATATTAGAGTACTAAATAGCTGCCTTGAAATACCTTTGAACCATCTAACTCACATGAACGTAAAAGTTAACAAATTAGTCTAAGCATATGGACATGAGAGTGTTTCATACCTCTTTCTCTTCTTGAAGTCCTTGTGTTTCCTGTTTAAGGCTATCCATAACTTCTTTTAATTTTTCCTCTTCTCGCTCTTTTTCCTTTTCAAGTACTTCTTTCTTAGATGTTGCTTTACTGATAGCTGTCTCACTGTTGCCAGGTACGCTTTTAAATTGCTCAACCTGTAAAAAGAAATTTTTAACTTTTCCCATTGTACAAAAGGAAAGCTTCTTTTATCATTAAGTTTTCCCTCCTTATGCTATGTGGGTAATGAGAGCAACCTGACATCTATCTATAGCTGAGTCTATCTACTACATCTATTTTCAGGACTGCAAATATCTCCCTGCTTCAGCAATGAAATATATACATAAAGCATCCTTTAAAGGCAGTTTTATTCACTAACACTGCTTTATGTAAGTAAGCATAAGAAGTTTTTTAGTTTCATCCTCTAAATTGCTCTTTTGCAATAGATCAGCACTCTAGAATTTGGATTGATGCTTCTTGTCATCTCTATCTTCAGCTGATTGTCAAGCTTTAAATAGTATCTTCTATTAGCAGCTTCACTCAATTCCTGTCAGGCTTCTCAAGCACTAATAGAAAAATAAATTCTGAACAAAACACATATGCACATTACCTCAATGGAGTTTCATATTGGTCCTCTCCTTCAAAGAAATATAATGTATGGGATAGGACCAATGTAGCTCCTTTTTCTACAGGGAGCCATACTCATCAGAAATACAGGTTAAACAGAACTGTTACTCACCCTAGTTGTGGTTCTTCAGAATGCTATAGTCAGTGTTGGTTTCACTGTAGGTGTGCATGAGCTACATGCATGCAAGATCAGAAAATTCTGTATAGCAGTGTCCATTGGAGCCACCTAGCTACCCTGTTTTCTTGTGCTTCTGTTCAAGCACATAAAGAATAGAGCAGCTGCAACATTCTCTCCATTTCCTCACAGTTCAAAGCCCAGGATGCTGAGGGCTTCAAAAGCCAGGGATGGATAGTACTTGTGGGACATGGTCTACCAAAGTAACATTTCTTCACGTGTCAGTGTCGATCCCACTACAGATATATGCACTTTTTAATGAAAGCTGAAGATAAGCCTGTGCCCTGGTGAAAATGTGAATTGACATTCAGACAGAGAGCCTCATCAACTATTTGATAGGTGTAATCTACTTAAGTCTCTCTGTGACAAGATGGCTTTACCTTTTGATATGCCAGACATAGCCACAAAGATAGCTAAAATAATTGTTCCTTTTAAGAGAACAGAGGAGAGGCTGTTGAAATGCCCTAAAGATGTAGCTTATTTTTTCCTTTTGCACTCCAGTGCAGTTTTCAGAAGCAAACTAACAGGTTAATTAATTGACTCAGTTGAAAGTGTGAAACCACCTGAGGGATTAATATAAGGTGTAGCCTTAACTGTACAACATCCCTATGAAAAAGAAATCTGATCATGAGGGCTTGGAGACACCTCCTTGTTGAAGTAACAATAACAAGAAAAACTGTTGGAGAATTTTGTGAAACTGTCAGGAGCAGAAGTTATCTATCTGCAGTACTGAATCAACTAACATCCAAGCCTTTAGGTGAAATAATTGTGGATCTGGGTGCTATATCAGACCTGGGAAGATGGATGCAAGGCTGAACAGGACATTTACAATAGATTTGACAGCCAAAATTGTTTTGGCCAGTGAAGAGTATGAGGATCAATGAGATCATTTTCCATCAGATCTTGGATATTAACCCTGAAGCTCAGGGGAATTGGTGGAAAAGCTTTAAAAATAGTAAAAAAAAGTACGAATGTATATGACAAGAAACCCATGCTCACTCCTTTTCTGGAGCAGATAGTTTGGCATCTGGTGTTGAAAATGGGAACCCCCTCAGTGAGAATTCTGTGGTGAATTTCTGCAATAACCCCTTTTGGTCAAACTTTAAAAACAATGAATGGTCCGGCACTAACATGGGCTACCCCTTAGACCCCACCCAGCCTTCCTGCATGAATTTGAATTGGCCTTCCACATGGCTCAGGATATCCTTCTGGTCTTCCACCTTAAACCTCATAAGATCAATGAGGAAAGGTGCCTACATGTGTTGGATGTCAGCAAAGCGCTTGCCTTCTGTCTGTACTGGATGAAATCCTCCCAGTTTGTGGCTTAAACTGAACGTATAAAAAGTCATCTGTTATCCTCAAAGTGGATAACCTCCTGCATCAAGATGTACTATGAATTGGCAGGTGCACTTTTGTTCAGTTACTCCCTATCTGTTTAAGAGGCCTGTCAAGTTGTTGCTGACTCTGGGAAGGTGCATCACCTTGTGTTGATGGTACCATGCCCCAGAAGGATGCTTCTTGGCAGAAAAGGGATAAATGAACATCGTTTTGCTTGTATACTCTGTGCACTGCAGATTTGCAGATCTTAATGGATAACACAACAGGTACAATCATATGAAGGCTTATCTGATGTCCCTGAGTTCTAAGTCATCCCCGAAGTTCAATTGGGGACCATCTGCAGACCATGTGACCCAGGATGCAAAGGCAGACTTTGACCGTGGTTAGCAGAACCACAGAGACCTGTGTTATGAAATAGAGCATAGATAGGGCCTTGTACCTACCCTGAGGAAAACACGCTCAGGCTACGATCGAGTCAAACACTGTGCTGATGAACTCTCTCTGCTGCAATGGTATAACGTCAACTTCTTGTGGTTTACCAGGAGCCCCAGAACTTCGCATGTGCTTAAAAGAAGAGGTAAGCCACTACCACTGATATGCACTTTGTGAATACCCTCAGGGTTCTGACTAACCCAAAGGAGAGGACAGTAAACTGGTAATGGTTCAAACCTACCATGAACTGAAGAAAACACCTGTGTCCCACAGATTGCAATGTGGAAATACATAACTTTGAGGTTGAAGGTGGCATCATAATCCTGCCCAGATCCAGACTGGGGATGATTGAAACCAGAGAAACCATGTGAAACTTGAGCTTTACTAGACAGTGGTTCAAGTCTTGTAGGGCCAGGATGGGATGAAGGCCTCCTTTGGCTTTGGGATTAAAAAGTAATGTGAGTGGAAGCTCCAGCCTCTGTACTGGTGTGGTACCTCTCAAATGCTGCAATTCCCCATCTAGTTTCTCATGAGAGGGGCCTGTTAAGAGAGATGGGGAGAATACGTGGGAAGGGGGTGAGGGTAGAAAAAAACAAAACTGGAGAGCATAGTCATGCTGCATCGTGGCTAAGACCTAACAGTCTGATGTAATAGCTCTCCAGGCTTGGAGGAAGGATTGGTCCTAGAGATTTGTTGCCCCCAGATGCACCTTCAAAAGGGGCGATTGCTAGAAGGTATGGTATGGCTCAAGCAGGGTTGAGAGGTGGGAAGAGACTGCTGGCTTGGCCTTCTGCAGAACAGCTCATATTTCCCCAAAGCTGGGTCTTGTCAGGATAAAACCAATTCAGCTACAGAGGGGGGCTGAACTTTTTCCACTCCAGGCCTGGGACATACAACTGCAAGGCATTCATGGTGTTTTGGGAATCTTTAAGCCTATGCAACTTTGTATTTGTAGGTTCCACAAATAGGGCAGCACCATGAAATGGGAGATCCAAGATGGATTGATGGACTTCAGGAGTTAATCCCAAGAGGAGTAACAATGCTACTCTATGCATGGAAATTGCAGATGTCTTAGCCTGTGATGCTGAGTCCATCACATCAGAAGGTGCCTGCACTGGCTGTAAAAGTGCTTTCTTTGGGGAGCACCCAGAACTCCTTTCTAGGGGTTTCTGGCAATGCAGAGTCAAACTTAGACATTGCCTGCCACATATTTAAGTTGTAGCAGGAACCCAAAGTTGAAACCTCACCAATTAAAAAAGCTTACATCCAAACACGTCTAGGCATTTAGAGTCTTTATTCTGCAGACTGAGGGCAAGTTGGCCTGGCCTCTCCCAGTGGTTCACCACTTAAACAACAGGGAGTTGGGTGTGGGGTGAATATATAGATGCTCATGGCTCTTCGCAGGAACGAAATATTTCCACTTGGCCTTTTTAGAGATCGATGAGAGCAAAGAGGGGGTTTGCCACAAGGCTTTGGTTATATTGGCCATACTGTCATAACAGTATGGCCACGCCCTAGCCAGAGTGACCTGACCTAACATCCTGAAATGGAGTCTGAGATTTCCTCCACCTCCTCAGCTTGGAAGTCCAAGTTAGTAGTCACACTCTTCAAAGAGTCCTGGTGTGCCTTAGTATCATCCTGAGAGACCAGAGGGGGGTATCATGATGGCCTCATCTGGGGATGAGGAAGAGGTGGCTTGGGCCAAGTGCCTTTCCTCCACCAATGTGGCTGATACGCTGTCTCCTCTTGCACTTTGGGGATAGCAGTCTAACGGATTCTGACACCAGTGGCTGGCTGGAGGACCAGAAGTACGTCCAAAGCTGTGGCCACAGGAAGCCCAGGCAAGTCCACAGGCACCACTGAGCTGTCCACGGTGCCTGAGGCCACAAAGCAGGCTGTGATTCAGACAGTAGTACCAGCTGAGCAGGTACTGGTGAGCCTTAGTATCAGGTTGCAGTGCTGATTGAACTGGGAAAAGGAAGAATGATTCTGATCTGGCATTGGTTGAACTGATGCTGCTGGATGCCCAAGACGGAAAGTGCAGACTCTGCTCTCTCAGGTACTTTGGAGAGCCTGACAGACGATTCAAGTAATGGTGGGGAGCACTGTGGCCTGTAGTTTGCGGACCAAGAATGGTCTCGAAACCTGCACCTGGATGATGGGGACAGACATCAAGAATTTGACCACTGGTGCTGGGATCTAGAGTCTCTCCAACTTAGATCTAAGAAGTGCAGAACCAGTCTCTCATATGCTGACCGTGCAGGGGTATAGAGGGCTCTCTTGTCCACCTAAGTGGGGAGTGAGAGCAGTAGGATCTCAGTGACCAAGGAGTTAAAGATGGCTTCCCTCTACATATAGGCCCAGGCAATGCTGGAGTTGGTGGCACCAGTAAAAGGAATGTCTTGAGCAGCCTGGAACACCTTCAGGGTGGGGGAAACCTGGATGGTTCAGGAGGGCATTGGGGAAAGAGGGAGACTGCCCTGTTCCAGCTGCACCGATGTCTTATCCAACGTTCAATCTGCCCCATGCTCTCCCGTGTGCTTCATCTTCTCTTTATGTCATGCCCATGCTTTAACAGGATTAGACTAATACAAGGACAAGGCTTGAATATTAGGAAAAAGCTTAAGACTCCATTACGTGGAAATACTCTGTACAGGGGAATCCAACCACCAGAAGTCAGTTCAGATGGGTTGAGTTAATTCATTGTGGTCTTCTCTAGGTGAAATAAAATTCTGAAGGTTTTCGAAGGGTTTGTGACAGGTTTAGCCAGAGTTAAAGATGAGAGAATCAGACATTCACTATATTCTCTCACACTGCTATGGGTGGCAAAGGGGAAATGAAAGAGGGCTGTAGCCATACAACTCTTTATATCCTTGCATGGGAACAGGAGCACAGGGCACTTGTGTACTACTGTAGGGTCCATACTGAAATACACTTATGGAAAACCTAGCAGTTCCCTAGATAAGCCTGTGAAGGAACAGCAGTCCAGATGCTAGACTGGTGATCTCCATCACAGAACAGCAATCTTGATCCTTTAGAAATAAAGTTAATTTTGGCCAACTCCCCTTTTTCTTCCTTTTCACAGATATTACTACTCTAATTTGGGTAACTGTGCATATTAGTCATGGAGGGGAAATACTATCTGCTGCAGAATACCTGCCTGAAGGAGCTCTTACTTCAAGGACAGCAGCATAATTTTTTTTTAAAAAAATACTCTTATTAATATTATTATACAAAATAAGCAGACAGTTAAGTCCTCTGTAACAGTTATGCCACATTTTGAATTCATCGGAAACCAAGAGTTCTGCTCTGAATAGATAACCTAAAAAAATCTTGAATGAATGGTGGAAGTGTCAAACCCTTCTGTACCCTATTTGCTACATGTGGCTCTATTGGCAACTCCCTCCAATAACTGACATAAGGAATCTGTTTCTCTTAAGTTAATGATACCACAGATGCCTAGCTACAGGGAACTGCAACTGCCTGCACCTACTTACCGGAGAGAATATTCACAGCTGTAGGAGAAACAAAATTTATAGTGCCTGAAGTGAACCCACCTTGAGTCCAGGACAGGGAAACATTACATTTTTAAATACAGGAAGTCCCTGACTTACGTGGATCAGACTTATGTCGGATCCGCACTTACGAACGGGGCTTTTCTCGCCCCGGAGCTCAGGGGCGGCGGGTCGCCGCCCGGTGTCCTCCGGGGTGAGAAAGGCTTCTCCCGGTCTCCCTGGTCTGCTGGGGGGAGTCCAGCAAAGCCGCTGGACCCCCCTCAGCAGACCAGGGGGACAGGAGCAAAGCCGCACAGGTGGTGGGGGTCCCGCTGCCTGGGCGGCTTTGCTCCTGGGCAAACGAGCAAAGCCGCCCAGGTGGCGGCTTTGCTTGGGTGTTCCAGGTCTGCTGGGGGGATCCAGCGGCTTTGCTGGACCCCCCCAGCAGACCAGAGGGACAGGAGCAAAGCCGCCCAGGCGGCGGGAGTCCCGCTGCCTGGGCGGCTTTGCTCCGGGGCAAACGAGCAAAACCGCCCCGGACTCCTCCGAGCACCCCAGGGAGACAGGAGCAAAGCCGCACAGGCAGCAGGGTCCCTCCGCCTGTGCGGCTTTGCTCGGGTCTCCCTGATCTGCTGCGGGGGGAGGGGGCGCAGCTAGTGCGCCCCCCCCAGCAGACCAGGCTTTTGTTGCGGGACGCCTCAGGTAGAGCAGCTGGGGTGCTGCCGGGTTGGTCCTGTGGTCCTATCTTGTACGTAACCTGGGGACTGCCTGTACTGATAGATCTTTGAGCTAGTAGGGAATAAAGATGTTAAAATGTGGTTAATTGACTAGTCAACTAGTCGATAGAATTTCCATCAACTAGTCCAGAGTTTCTCAAACTGTGGGTCCTGACTCCCTGGGGGGTCGTGAACAACTGAGAGGGTGGTTGCAGCAATGGAGAGGAGGATCGTGGTATCACAAGTTTGAGAACCCCTGGACTAGTCAATAAGCACTGTCGCATTCCTCCTTTGAAATGTACAAGAGCCCCCAGCAGGGGCTCTTGTGCATTTCAAAGCCATGGAGCCCGGGGTCAGTGGGGGACTGCTCAGCTGATCCCGCATTCTGGGGAAATGCCACTGGGAGGTCAGTTGGGGAGTCCCCAGCTGACCCCCCTCCCCCCCCCGGGCTCCACGGGTGTCCCTTTGAAAGGTGCAGAAGTGCCATTTTAAATGGGCAGCTGCCACATAGCTGAACCGTAGGTCAGATGTGCAGTGGCTGAGCCTTTGGAATTCCCGC